ATTGGATCAACCTCATAGATCTTTGCGGCGCGTCGGAGAGTTAATTTTCGGTCATTTTTAAGGGCACGAAGTGCGAGAATAACATTAGCTTCACTATTGAATTCAGGCATATTGGGTGGTGAAGAAACAGTTGACGACGTAGACATGTTGTAGGTTGAGGGATTTTTGTAACACTCACGTGTTTGTAACACTCGCTTATCATGGACGTTAATCACTCCAAGAACCCAAAACGTCTTGGGGTGGTAGGACGTGAGTGAAGTCTCTCATTTAAGGCCTCATAGGTTTCCTTCAAAGCCGGAAGATCCTGCTTTTGTTCGTCACTTCTGGGTTCTTGGTAAAGCACAGCTTGCCAATAAAAGAATGGAACCGTAGGCAGTGGCAGATCGGTCTATACGCTGGGCTTTGTTTTAGTTTCGCTGTGATATAATTCTTTAAAATGATTTAGACCAGCACTATGAAGTCATTTATTGAACTAGTTAGTAATCCACTTCTTGTTTCTGTAGCCCACAAACCGGTTACTCTTTTCTTGTAAGGCACAGAAGGCAAATATGGATGCTGCAGGCCGCATAGTGCTACTGAGGGTGGATTGGCTCAGTCACAGCATGACTGATCTATGATTTTGCTCTCGTGATTAGTGATCAAACAAAGAGACGCAGGTCCTTATGCTCTTTTATTTAAGCCTTCCCCACTGCCAGCAATGCCTCCACATCTGATATCTAAAACCTATCATTCTCATCCTCTTCGTATTTCAAGGTCTCTCGCATTGCCATATAGCGATGCACAACCGCAGTGGCAAAGCAGCGAAGACGGTTTTGCCAGAAATGTATCCAACAAATACAGCAGCGGATAAGGAGATGTTACTCGAAAAGACAAGCGAATCACTCACCAGGGACTCACGAAAGTCGCTCGCAAGATCGGTCCTCGGGGCTTTGATGAGTTGGCCGCCTCTTGCTCCATATTAAACTGGTAAGATACACCTGAACTGTGCACACCGGATGCTAACTGATCAGGTACTCTTGTGACCAAAGCCCTTGTCAAGCATTAAATGTATATCGCTGTTTTCATGCTCTCCCTGATCTCTTAATGCTCTTCCCATGTCAGGCATACGGCCTGTGGTCAATTACTCGTCCCATTTGGAGACTAGGCAACAAAGTATTTCGTACGTAGCTCAATTATACAAGTGCCAATTTTCTCGATAATCAAGGTGTTGGGATACAAACAGTAATGGCTCGTGCCTTGTAATCCTGTCTCCTGAAGTCCAGTAGCATGCTTGACGGGTCGGGCAGAAGCATTCAACGCCGCTGGTCACGCCATATAGGGAACGACTTTAATGGCATACCTATAACTATATAAGGGCTGCAGGGCGTTGCAAATTTCCCATATCTGTTAACCGAAATGTTGGTCAAGGGGATCTTTGACCAGGTATTTAAGGCCTTAGTGGTACAATGTCTAAGTTGCGAACTAGATGTTTTACTTGCAGTTGATACTTATGGCTGGGAGCTTGAATTAGCACAGAGAACCCGGTCTGCGAGCCGGCTGAGAGTATGGAGAGCTTGGTGGTATAGCTGCAAGGGACGATGCCTGCTAAAGACAACGTACCTTGGCTCATAAGGCCAAGTTCTCTATGGCAATTATGAGCCAGGAAGTCGTAACAATAAATAGTATATCTGCACTATCTCGAGGATATTGAGGTAATACCATTAACATCTAGCCAGTCCTCGGGGGGGCAAGAAAACAGTAAACCTTACTCTAGGGCATAAAAATAAACTTAATAAGAGTCCCTCAAGTTTAGGCTAGATTTACCTAAGTATTTCTATCGCTTAGGGTAAAGAGCCTGTATTTTCTTTCCTCCCCTAGCCAGTCCTGTATGTCGCCCCCGATATGACAGTGTTTCATGTTGCGGGGTAATATCTTGA